CATGAAGACTTACTAGGGAGCGCAAGTACAGATCAGCGCTCTCGGCACTAGTTGGAGGTCAGCGGTCAGCTTCACGCCCCGGCCACTTTACCAACGGGGAAAAACCGATACCTGTTGGAGAGGTGGCTAGATTGACCCCCGAATCGTTATGGATAAAGTGGAGAGGAGAAAATCTTTGCCCCTACCGGGACTCGAAATCCGATACCTCTGCCGTCGAGCCTCTAAGCAAACTCTATACTGACTGCACTATCCCAGAACCAAGTGAACAATGTTTATTTAAAATAATGAAGAACAAAAGAATAGGCCTATGGCATGAACCATGAAAGAAAACAATTATGAGGGCTATTCGGAAAGTAGCCTCCGTTTATTTTAGGCAATCAATGTAGGAGAGCTCGCGCATGCGAGGTAGCGTCACATGACTTATTGCCTTGTAAATCATCAAGTAACTGGTCCCATAGCGTTAGTTCTTGTCTCTACAGAGTGAGTTATGGCGTGTCCTGCGATTGAAAATCCCGCCAGCTGCGAAATTCGCCCTGTTATCCGCTTATTCATGCTAAAACCACGAGATCTGCGGAAATCCATCGTAAATTATGCGCGGTTTATGGCAAAATGCAATGAGTGAAGGAAGTGTAAGACAATGATGTAGAATGTTCAAAGATGGGCTGGCGAACAAATGTTTACGATGAAGAGCGAATTGGTCGGCTGGTCGTCTGTATGAGTGATGATCTTGTTCAAAGCGTTGACCAAAAGTCTGTGAAAGACAGTTCACAATTTCAGAACTTTCGTGTGAATTTTCACAGATTTCATACACTCTTCTCCACGAGATTTGAGCAAGATTAATTTCGAAAATGCTCACGGGTGCGCAAAAAATGCAGAGAATGGTTTCGGGGTTGACTTCGAGGGATACCACAAAGATGGCGACGCATTTCTCAGTCACATCGTACGAGTAACCGGTGATGAAACCTGGGTTTCCTTTGTAAATGTTGAAACTAAAGATCAGTCAAAGCAGCGGATACAAATGCATTCATCAAACAAGCCGGAAAAGTTTCAAGAAACGCTGTCTGCTTGCCAGAAAGATAATGGTAACTGTTTTGTGGGACAAGAAAAAGTGTTGATAGTGGAATTCACGCAGCAACGGATCACAGAAACGTCAGAAGTGCACTGCATGCGAAATACTAAAAAAATTGGGTTATTCAGAAGAAAAGGCACGCAATGCTCCTTCATGACAATGCCTTTCCTTATACAGCTGCTCGCACTCGAGGACAGCTGGAGCATTTAAACTGGGAGTTGTTTGACCACCTTCCTTACAACCCTGATCTCACTCGTAGCGACTATCAGTTGTTAACCTGCCTGAAGATCTGGTTTGGATCACAGTGCTTCAACAATAATGAGGAGTTGATGGAAGATATTCAAAATGTACGTAGCTTAGCTCACAGGCGCCAGACTTCTTTGACAGAGGTATAAAAACTTATTCCTCGATAAGACAAGTACCTCGATTCCGGCGGGGACTACGTTGAAAAGTAGCTTAATCATATACGTATTTTTGTATATAATAGTATTTTTTCTAATTACTTGTTTTGTTAACAGCTGACCGGAGGTTACTTTTCGAATAACCCTGTATATCTTTGAAGGGCAAAAAGAAAAAATCAAGATCCAGATGTTGCCGACATCTTGCATTAAATAACTGACAGATTCTTCGCATTGTAAATAAACTTTTAAATGTATGATTTAAAATATTCAAATTATAACATGGATTGAAGGAAAAAATGTCTTTCATGGGAAAGTTATTTGGTCCTGAGAAAATTAAGCTTAAAAAATATAAATATAGGGTTATTAAAAAATAATGAACCGATTTTATTATGCAATATTTTATTAAAGGAAAGTAATACAAAACTCCAGCCAAGTCACAAGTAATCTGCTCACAATCAACATTTATTTCCTGTCTTACAAATGTTCAATGTGGCCACCACCTGCAGCACGGGCAACATCAATGCCATAAGAGAATTCCTCCCAGGCGCGTATCAGCATATCACGATGCACTGAGTTAATCGCTGTTATTCGATGTTTAAGATCATTGAGGTTAGTGGGTGGGGGTGGAACATAAACGTGATCTTTTACATATCCCCACAAGAAGAAATCACACACGGTGAGGGATCTCGCAGGCTAAGCACAAAGAGCAAGATTTGGCCCCCTTCCGACCAATCCATCGCTGGGGCACTTTTTCATTTAACAAAGCTCGGACCATCAGGTGCCAATGGGGCGGTGCTCCATCTTGTTGAAAAATGAAGTCATGCGAATCTGCTTGCAGTGAAGTGAAGAGTTTTGGAGCATATCGGGATAGGTTTGTCCTGTAACAATGTTTCCTTCAAAGAAAAAGGGACCATAAACCTTGTCCTGAGACACAGCAGAGAAGACGTTCACGTTAGGGGAATCTCTTTCGTGCTCAACTGTTTCATGTGGTTGCTCTGTTCCCCAAATACGCACATTGTGACGATTGACTGTGCCGCTCAAGTGAAAAGTCGCTTCATCACTAAAAATTAAACGTGAAATGAAGGTTTCGTCTTCCATCATCTCCAGCATCGAATCGCA